GTGTGTTAGATTTTTTACAACAGAAGTCATTACATACGAAAGAGGTAAATTTTTATTTTTACATTAAAATATAATATTGTAAATTGCATGTATTTATATGTATTCATATTTTTTTGAATTTATTTATTTATTGCTTGTATTTATTATTTTAGACTTAAAATTAATTAACTTTTTCCTAGTGCTGCACTTTTTTCGACGGGCCTTTTTTTCTAGTGTAGGACTTTATATCGTGATTTTTTTCCGGTACGTTTTTTTCCGCGATTCTCGTCTTTTGATTAGTTTTAATTTTTACACTGTACAATTAATGTACACAGCGATTGTGTGCACTACTGCTCTGCTATTCATACCATTACCGTTTTGGTATAGACAACTGCGAACGTTGTTTGACCTTCGAAATAACCCAATCCAAATATTGTAATATATAATATTATTTTCGTATTCTGAATTTATGTATTTATATTTTTATATTTTGAAACATAAAATCTTAATAACTCTACAGGTACCTGCTTAGATGTATTATGTTGATTTATGTTTTCAATTTTTCTTAAGTTTCGGTAGGTAGTTTGCACTAGTGTACACGAGCCGTCACTGTTGAGTGTTGAGTTACACCAAATATAAACAAAATCGAATTTTTTAAAGCTAGTTTTGCCTATTTACCTACGACTTCCCGTTTTTCTTGAATTGTTTTGAAACTAGTTTATAGGTCTACGTCACTACCCTCCACTCAAACTCGAAGCTCGTGTCGTGCTAATAATACTATACGCGTCATAAACGTAATTCTGTGAAGTTACGAAAACAAAACAACAATTTCGTATTTATTTTCTGTACCTATTATCAGACATCAAGGTAGGTCACGAGTGCACGACGACTGTATTTTAATAGCGATATACTCCTTAGCGACCTACCATGCCCATACTATTTGCTTATTCTTTACACTTACTATTATTTTTAAATTATGACGATGTTTCAATGCTAAATACCACTAGCAACTAAACACTTATTATCACCCACCCACCCACAAATAGTTTTGTAGAATTTTCCCCAGTCGATATTCGTGTTCAGCGCCATTGGCAGCAATTACCAATATAGAAATAGATCCAATTTTCTATCACTAACCACCCTCAATTTGCCTACTATTGTATATAGTCTTTACAGACACAAAATAACACACATATATAATTGTGAAATCAATAGATATTCTTCGTTTAAACGAGGTATCGAAACAAGAACAGATTGCGAGTACTAACTACATTTTTACGATCACTTGTATATACTAGCTTTAAAATTGTATGGTTTTTTATTACCTATTTTAAGGCAAATGCATAGTATCCTTCAACAATATTCAACTAGAATTATTTCGACAAGGAATTTTTACGTTTTGTAGTATGTAAACTTTTTTTTTGCACATTATCGGGTAGGTATTTGATTAAAAATTACTGTAAATTCCATAAAAAATAAATTTTTTTTAAATAGTTGATGATTTTTGCTCTGATTGACAAAACGTATTTTTTTTTAAATGTAATCATCGACTAGGCAAGGAGGGTGTGCTGCCAGCATAAAAGTTATTTTAAGCACTAAAAGGCATAATTATTGTCGTCGCTGATTTATATCAACAATTAATGTCAATTCTGCGTGTTTGTGTTATCTACACTTTAAAATTTAGTGCTCGGTTTGTGCATTTCAATCGAATCGTGGTAAAAAAGTCCGGGTATAAACGTCAGAAGTAGGTAGGTCCTAATAAGCCTAAAAAGTCCAGTGTATTTGTACCTCTATGCAACAATAATTTAAATGATTAATCTAAAAAAAAATTCAATGATTTTAATTAGATACTTAATAATATCATAACCATCATATATACATAATATATTATAATGATTTCTCAGTTTAATTGAGTGTTCTATACTTCTATCTAGTTGTATAATCTTAACTAAAAAAATTCCGGTATACCTATAATGTACCTATGTGTATTGTGTATGTATAATAATATTTAAAATGATTTATTTAACCGAAATATTTTGCCGATATTGGTACCTACAATACCTATGATTTATTAATTTCATCAGGTAAATCATTTAGTTACAATTTATATTAATACTAATTGGAAGTTTGATTGTGCATCACAATATCACATCATATTTTTTCTTTTACCTATTTATATGTACCGGACTTTTTGATAATACACCATTTCAATTTTCAATCCTAGACTTAATAATATTTCCAATATCGGCAATACCAATAATTCCACCATCGTAATTATTAGATATCGACAATTATTGTGACGAACACTGGAGAAATTGTAACGAATTTAAATAATAGAAAACTATAGAAGCTATAGAAAACTGTTATCATTGATTATAATAATTGCTGTTATCAATTTTTGGTAGTTACCTAATAGCTAAGAACAAACTTATAGCTAAATAAGTTCTTACTCGGTAGAAAAAGTATCAAATAACCTATTTGTGAATTGTTCTTCGAATACATTTTATTCCGACATTGTACAACCGGAAAATAACCTATTTTTGTAATCCGGCAGATAACTTTAGACGAATAAAGTAATAAGTTAATCGCGCCTAAAGTCAATATGACGGTAATTCGTTGGTGTTATTTATCCGCCGCAGTTTTTCTGTTCGTATAAAATAATATTTTGTCTATTTTAGTGTCAAATCAATGGTTAATGTATAAAAGACCTATCGAAATGTATTGTCTTAATGTCGTTAAAATATGACTACAATATACCGGCATCTGAAATCTTAACCTTTTCAAACAATGTAAAATGCCTGTGCCTAAAAGAAAGCCTACTGACAAAAAAATATTTCTGACCATCGATTGCATCGCTATTATGTAAGTTGTTATTGTAATAAACAAGGTTGTAGTTCGTTAATTTAAATTGTTTTTTAAAAAAATGTATTAAAATAACCAATTTTGTTTTTAAAATCCCAAAATATTCAATTAAAATACAAAACCATTAAATATGCAAAATTTATTCAAAGTAAAAATAGTATTATTTGATTCAGTAGAACAGCGTTTCCCAAATAGTGGGTCGCGACCCACTACCGGCCCATCAAAATGTAATACTGGGTCGCAGGATATAATGAAATTCTCATATTAAATTTGTTATTTATCATTTTTGTTTGATAATTTAAACTGTTAAGTATGAAGAAGAAGTCAAATAGACGGGAGAGATGATTCAAATGTGTTTTATTTTGCCTTTTATTACATAATGATAAATGTAAAATATTTTGATGGGTCACGAAGGTGAAAAATATAAATTACCAGGCCAGCCCAAACAAGAGTTTGGGGAACGCTGCAGTAGAACATGAATTCAATTTGTATCCAGGTTAGCATTAAATTGGACAAATAGAAAACAATATGCAATTTCATAAACATCCGAGCCCTAATGATTAAGTATAAAAATTAAATATTTAAAACACTGCTCTTTTTGACCTATTCCTACATTCAAATTTTTCGGTTTTTTAAATTATAGTTGATAAACAACTTTTCACTTAGTCAAAATACTTGAAAATTTAATTCAGAGTTTAATTTCAAGGTATAATTTGTAAAAAAGTTGAGCTTAAATCCAGATTAAAGATTTTGATAATACCTATTTGTCAAAATTAAAAACATTTGCAAATTAATTTTTACTTAATTAGAAATTCTTAAAAATTGTTCTTTTCATACCTAAGATTTGAAAAATTAAACACAAGATTCCTTATAAGTTTTTCTACTTAGACTGACATAATATTTTCTTTAAATATTTAGTTATTACAATTTTTTACAAAAGGTATAATTCTCTAAATATTTTGTGTTACTTTACACTTATTCAATTTTTTTTAGTTTTTTTCTATAAATTTCAATTAAATATTGTTTGGTTGGTTAAAAGGGTTTGAAAATAATACAAGGTTTCTCATAAGTGATTATATCCATTTAAAAATATTGAATATACAAATAGATACAATTTCCTTTTTTATGCATTTAAACTTTGATAAAACTTGTCAAAATAACAAATATTTGCAAATAATTTTGTAGGTTTAAACTTATGAAAATATGTTCAATTTTTACACCTGAGTTTCAAGAATTTTGCTCAAGGTTTTTCATAAGCAGTTCATACTGTAACCAGAAAATCAAAAAATAATATAAATAGCTGTATTATTTATTTTTAGATATTTTAATTTAAAATTTCTATGAAATTAGATATTAAATAAATGCAGTAGGTATAACAAATTTGGTTATATTTTGTTGTAATTTAAAAATACTATTTGTGGGCAGTTACTTGGTACTTTCAAAGTATATTATTATATTTTATTTACAAAATTATTTTCAAATGCAATGTTTTTAGTAAAAATTAATTAACCTGATACTAATAGTAAAATTAATTATTAGAATTACAATATAAATATATCATAAAATATACATAGTAGCATAGTTTGACGGTCGACCAACCAAATAATTTATCGTATACAAAGATCATTGAATACAAATTTAATACATAATTTACTGGCTTACTCATACCACGATAACAATGTACACTCATAACAACGACATTTACTCTATTACAGAGCGGTTACCTACTTTTCTCATAAATAAGAATTCTCTAATATTCCCTTTATAGAAGAAACTTTACCAACAGAATTGCATGGAGTTTTGGGTCATACTGTCTAGTATCAGTGATTTTTTTATTACACTTTCTACTTTTATACATATGTATAAACTCAAAATATACATTGTATAATTGTGGTACAAATATCTGGAATGCAATCGTGGTAGTAATAACATACTCATCACCCTAGTCATTAAAACTCTAATTTGTTTCAATTCTAATTGTGAAATCTTGAATACTAATAAATCAAAAACCATTTAAATATTACTAAACCTATAGAAAAAATATTTATAAAAATAATAAAACATTAAATATCTGTAAAATGATGCTTATATTATTAAATTGTCTGATTAAATGAAAAATAATTAAAGCAGATAAAAAAATGTAAAATAGTTGAGTGATAATGATTTTTAAAGTTAAAATTAATCTTAAAAAAACAAATATATTTGATTTGATATTAAATTTTGCTGACATTTTACAATACAACATGTGTATATTGTAAGATGTTTATGTAGCAAATTCAATTATTATTTTAACATACATAACGAAGTCAAAATATATTTAAGAATACAATTGTTCAGGAATGTTCTCTTTCTTGCGGTACAAAATATTTTCTTTCGACTTCTTAAAATCTTCGTTAGTTATTTTCATACGACGATCACGAAGCGCCATTAGACCTGCCTCAGTACAAATAGCCTAAATGCAAAAGAATTAAATTATTAAACAAGCAAAAATATGATTGCACATAAACATATACTAAAAAATGTTTGTAAAGGTATAATTTTGTATTTTTACCATGATTAATTTAGAAATTGTATGTTACCTTAATATCAGCACCAGAAATATCATCTTTGATTGAAATGAGTTCATTCAAGTTAACTCCTCCATCCAATGCCATTTTAGACGTGTGAATGTTGAAAATGTGATGTTTGGTTTTTTCACTTGGCAATGGAAATTCAATTTTACGATCAATACGGCCAGGACGAATTAAAGCAGGGTCTAGAGATTCAATACGATTTGTGGCCATAATCACCTGCAAAATAAATACAGTTTTGTAAAGATAATTTAAGTTTTAATCAATTTAGTAATTTACTTTGACATCACTCCGTGTATCAAAACCATCCAATTGATTAAGAAGTTCTAGCATAGTGCGCTGAATTTCTCGTTCACCACCCGAGTTTGAGTTGTATCGTTTAGTACCAATTGCGTCTATTTCATCAATGAATACTATAGATGGTGAATATTGTTCAGCTGTGCGGAATAGTTCTCGCACCAATTTGGGACCGTCTCCCTATCATATAATTTAACATAAAATAGAGGTTTAGTAACATATGGACATAAATATCAAATTTTTATAATATATATATTATCATACCAAATACTTTTGAATAAGCTCAGACCCGACAACCCTCAAGAATGTCGCTGAAGTCTGATTAGCAACAGCTTTAGCTAAAAGGGTTTTTCCTGTTCCTGGAGGACCATACAAAATTACTCCTTTGGGAGGCTTAATACCCATTTCTTCATAAAATTCAGGATGGGTAAGAGGTAGTTCAACGGCCTCTTTAATTTCTTGGATTTGCTGTTCTAAGCCACCAATGTCACTATAAGTTTCAAGAGGTGCTTTTTCAACTTTCATCGCAGCTACTGTAGGATCTGTATCATCGGATAGTACTCCAACCACTGCATGGACCTACAACAAAATAGATAAAATATTTTATAATGAAGAAAATTGAATAGGTAATATTTATTTACTTTATGGTTGAGCAGTACAGTGCATCCTGGTTCCAACAGTTCTTTGTCAACAAATGATAAAATGCTGACGTAATATTTATTCCCAACCGAAGCCGAAACAATTGCATGGTTGTCATCAATGTGTTCTTCCAATGTACCGACAATCATAGGGCTTCCACGGAGATCATCTACTTTTGAGCGTTCTTGCTGTAAATAGTTTAATACATAATTAATGCCCCAAATAACATTAAACTGCATTGAACAATACTAAGTACTAAATTTCAATTTTAAATCATTTAAGTTTATCAAAAAAAATATAACGGTTTGGTACAAGATAAAATGTTCTTTTAACAATAAGTACAAACCAATTAGTAAAATATGAATCAGCATATATGTATAACACACTACTTAATACTTATATTCTATATATTAATCTGTATAGTATAGTTTGGTAAATTCAAAAATATTTTAAAATTTAGTGAGTAGTTGTTTTTATAAATTCTATGTTTATAAACAAATTCAATTGCTTATGTATTTTGAAAAAATTCTTAATAGTTTATTTCCTGCTATTTATAGAACCTAGAACTATTATATTAGTTGCCGTAGGTATGCACTTTCATCAAAATTATGTAACCAAATCTAGTAAAATACTTATTTTCTTACAACACGCTTAAATTTACTCTTATCTACTTGGATAATAAAATTAATTATTATCTTAATATTTATTGTTTGTTTCCTTATAGTCTTAACACAGAAACACAACTATAGCATTATACTAAGACTTAAACAGAAAACATAATTATCCATTTTAAAATTTACTTCATTTTTTTCTCCTTGGGGTTTCAATTTTTCTTGGTTTACTATGAACTCTTCTTCCATCAATAAATAATCCTTGATACGCTCCAGTTTTAACAATTTCAAACGACATTTTGAATGAGGGTAAACTATAAAATAAATCAAAGTATAAATACAAATAGTCCAATATTTGTCAATTTTAAACAATTTACCTTGTGGCAGTTTTGAAGCAGTGTCAGGGCCATTTACCTTCCTTTTTTTCTTGCTTGTTCTTGGAGGGATTGGTGGTTTATACTTAATCTTTTCTCTTTGCTTGTCTTTGTCTTTCTTTTCATCACTACTCGAATAACTTTGACCCTAGACACGTAATGGATTAAAAAAACAAAATATACAATATACAAGGGGTACAAACAATAATAAGTACCAATATATATATTTTACCAGGCTCCCTTATAAAATTTTTTTTCGCTTAATGTATATAGTGAAGCATGCTAAAAACGATGGTTAAGTATGAATAAGTTTTGAATTGGAAGTCCGAGACCCACTCCCACTCAAGATGGTTTAGCATTGTTTTCGATTTTAATTGTCTGAGCGAGTGACCAGGCCGGGTATTTATGTAATTTTAATAATTTTGTTTTTAACTCCGAGAACCCACCCAGGGTGGTTTTACATAACAACAAGTCAAGCCGTGTCGAAGATGTTTTTGATTTTAATTGTCCAAGCGAGCAAGTGACCATGAGTGAATATGAAAATACTATACATTTCAATTAGCTGACTTTAGTAGGTACTAAGTTCGACTGTTAAATTCTAACTTCTCCAGTTTACCATCCTTTTTAGCATGCTTATCTACATACGTTAAAACAAAAAAAACTTGCACATTAAACGACGTCCGGTAAAACAGAGAAAAGTGTCTAATAATAATAAAACAAAAACTAAATCATGTTTAAAGCAAAAAAAAATTGATTCTGATTAACTTACCATTTTTGTGATAAAAAGGTTTTCTTAAGTGATTATGTCGACGTAAAATGTAACGTGTTTCACAAACAAAAAGTTGTTCGGAATCGGTGAATATTTGCTCACGAATAATAAACGTTAACAACAGCAACACACGTAGAACACGAACGCCAGAATAACACGACTAACAGGACCACCGGTCGAGTGTTGACTGATATGGGCACAAACGCGGTTCTCCTTTCGGCTTTGGCTTGTTGCTACCATCTAACCGAACCGTTTACAACTTCATGTACATACCACAACGATGACGATAATACCAGCTATTGTCGACATCTGCAAGCAGCTGTTGTTGCTTGCGCATATCGCACAAGCCGTACTGAAGAACGCTATGCATTGAATGTTATCATCATAGAGTAAGAATGTTATCATCCACTTATCAATTACGAACCATATCGAATGATAGCAAACTTCTCCGCAAAAACGGGTGTTTTGAATATAAATAATTTAAAATTGTTCATTATTTTTAAGTACAAAAATTGTTTATTGTTTATTTTTCATTGGTGATTGGTGTATTAACACGTTAATTATTATAATGTTTAATTTTACGTATATTATAATATTGGTTCAGAGCGTGACTAGTGGATATAGATATCTAACAAACCCAATAATTCAGTGGCGTAGTCCGGATTTTCTGGATTTTACTACACAGAGTTGGTTAACTTGGGTCTCCCATAACTCATAAGTTAAGCATACCAATGTCGAGATTTTATTTTCGGTACTTGTCAGAGAACACCGTTGTAGGTATGACATTTTATTCATACAAATAGCCAGCAGGTAAACAATATTTTTAAATTGTGCGTGAAGCAATTTATTCTAAGTCAAACATATTGAAAATGTAATACCTATATAGGTATATTTATCTACTGTAGTAGGTAGGTTTTATAGGTTTTTAAAAGGTTTTGCTCATTAGTTGTTTCTGCGTGATTACGCAGCAGTTTAAAACTATACACATTATATAGTAGGTATATATAATTAAAGTAACCTCGAAATGTAAATGAAATTTTGTAGTTAAACAAAAAAATCAATTCTTTCACAATCAGTTTTAGTTACTGTGGTGTTGTAATTAAAATAATATTATCGGTATAGACATCACTTTTTACCATTATTTATAATGTATATTAATATATTATTTAAATGTAATAAAATCTACAATAGATTTACAATTTATCTATCCTCACCATTTTACGATATTGACTTATAAGTTAATAACATTGATATTTCATAGCAATATTTTATTTTACCTACAACTGTACAGCAGAAAGGCTTATCCCTTTTTTAATTTTATCTTAGGTGCCAAAAAAATGCATATTTTAATTTTATTGTTAACTTATAATTTATATAAACAATAAATTTACAATTTTTCAAACATTTAACTTAAAAATTGTGCAGTAATTGGAATGCTATCATTTAACATCAATGTTGTCATTGCCTAAATCATAGAACAATAAATGGGCTATTAGCCTAAATGCACAAAAACAACTATACATAAAGTTAGTAGTGGCTCTGAACTAATTTACTATGATACTATCTATGCCTTGGTTGTGGCTTTATAACCGTAATATTACTTTAATTCCTTTAATATTCTATTAATCTATGCCTATATGGAAATTATTTGTTAATTTTTTAATTTTTTAATTAAAAACTGATATACCTAGCATTATACTTGTTAATTTATGTCTTAACTTTAGAGAATTTGATTTAATTTGCATTATTTACTATTGTCTATTACTAACATAGCTTATTTTAATACCTTTTACGTGCACCACTCGACATGTACGAGTACTGCAGAGTACCACTGACGGTTATTCCTGCGTCCTGCCACTTTAAAACAAAGACTAAGTCAATTCCCGCAGTTAAACCATATGTGATCTACTTATGGACTAGTGGCAAAGGCCACTATTGACCTTGGTGTCACCATTAAAGATGACCGAGTGTACATCAATATTTGATACTAGCATACAAGAAAATAGAAATGTGCTGTTGAAAATTCTGAAGGTAAGAAAACATTTTAAGTATCATTAATATGGTGTAATCGATATGTCTATAGGGCCTAAAAATAAACTATTACGTAGAAACGATTCTAATAACGTTATTCGTATGACTGCACTATTGAATTGGTGCAATAATTCTATGTTTCGTATTCAATCAGCCCACACCTAGTGCAGTTGTTTCACATGTGTACACTCTGCCAGCTTTTTGATTTTTGAACTTAGTGTAATGATAATAAATTGCAGGACCTCGTGACAGAAAATGCCTTATGTTTTATTGATAAACCTACCTTCATAGGCGTGTATACAGGCCCGGATAGAGCCGGCGAGTTACCGAGTTGAACTCGGTGGGCCGGCTTAGTTGTTATATTTATTATTAATCTATGTCAACATTACTGCTTAATATAATATGTATAATTTATATTGTATGATATATGATGTTATTGTTAAAATATGGATACCTATTAATGACTTTATCTTATTGAAAAATGGGCCGTTAACTTTTTTAGGGCCGGTTAAAATCGTAAAACTCGGTGAGCCGATACCTTGCCTATCCGGCGCTGCGTGTATACACCTCCATAGCTGGGGAGGCAAATTGTAAAATTTTAGTTTTTACATACTTCATCTTTACGTATACCTACCTAATATTCCTGACTCTTTTCTCTTACTATTTCAATATACACCTATAACTTTTTAAGTAAATGTGTAAACATCTAAAATTTAGAAATTCCACGTTACTTAGTACTTACTATAAAATATGTCAACTGTCAAGTTAAATAAATTATATTACATAAAGTTTATTAATGTTATTTAAAACTTTATTTAGATAGGTATTTTCTCAAACTGAATGTCTTTGACCAGTGGTCTCAACTGTTAGTCAGAGGACTCATCCCAAGTGGTCAAACAATTTTTTGGCAATAAGTCACAATAATTGAGTACTTATTGATAGCCTTATCTTGTATTATATTTTTAATTAATTGAAGTCATCAATAGGTGGCTTCTTTCATAAAAATAATGAATGTCATATTACTTTTAGCCTTTATTTGTGTTGTATTAAATGACAAAGATTGCATATTTATTGTAAAAATAAAAATAAAATAAATAAAAATATTTTTTCAGAGCATTTACTGTATTGCTGATTTTTTGTGAATGTATAAATTAAAAGTTATTAAAAAATGAGTGCCGGTAGATCACTAATGTATCATAAATAACACAATATAAAGTTCTAATAATTAACCAATATTATAACACGATAATTACTTTATTATATAAGCTACCTGTGTAATTCACTGACGGTGAGTACCTACCGATCTTGGAGGTCTAGTCAGTTGTAGTCGCACGTCTACAGTCGGTCGAAAACTTAAAGCATAATAATAAGTTCGAGTGGGTGATGGGGAAGCCGTCAGTGATCAATTTTGTTGATAAGGTTAGGTAGTATAATAGTTTGTGATAAAACGCTTTGGCTGTCTCGGAGAAGTCGGAATTTTTTGTCGCGAAGTCGAATTTGAGTGTATAGCAATCACTCATGATGAGCCGTGTAAATCGGTAATTGAACGGGCTTGATACAATCCCCCTGCTCACAGAGATTCAAAATTAAAAAAAGATGTCCAGAGTACAATTTCCTCAAACAATGTACACAAATGTCTTAAAAAAATATCTTAGGTGAACATATCCGTGGTTGTTTTTATTATCTCACACAAAGCACCCTTCGAAAAATACAAGAACTGGGTCTTGAGAATCGGTATCGCAATGACAACGAGTTCAATCTAATAAAATTCAATAAAATTGAACTCAAAGATTTTTGAAAGCTATAGGTCAAAATATTAAGCTACAGCGATAACAATTTATAATTTATGTATCTATAGGATTTTTTATAATTATGTAATTATTTTTTTTCTAAC